CCGTGTCGACAATGTTACTGGGACATTAAAGTTGAAGAGAGAAAGCTCTGATTGGCAATTTGATGTCATGGGTTGGCTCGCTCATCTTAATGTTGATGTCAATGCTTGGGATGCTATCATTGATATTGTGGGCGAAAGTTGTGAGAGTTTGATAACTGATGTTCGCGAATCTGGTCGCACGTCTCTTGTTTTTAGAATTATGGTTTGCCAATATGAAGAGTGGGAGGAAGAGTACCACGATTACGAGCTCATGTATCTTGGTATTGAACAGGATTCCGAAACTGAAGAGGAAGAGGACTACGAGCCCATGCATCCTGATAATCTTGATACCGACTGGATTGAACAGGATACCGAACCCATGTATTGTGATCCTGATCGCATAAAATCTATTCTACAGGATGGTGGAGTCAAGTTTGCTAACGGCGGCCATTCAGGAACTATTAGTAATTGCTCGATATGTTTAGAGGAGTTTGGGATGTCAAACAATGTGGCCACTCTTCCTTGCTCTCATATCTATCACGAACAATGCATGATTCGTTGGGCTTTTCAAGGAAAACGAACGTGTCCATTATGTAGATTGGAGATAAAATTGAATTTCATTGGGAAGACTCTGTGATTTGATGTCATGTGTGTTAGGTCTTGCTTGTAAGTTAGTTTATTTAAGACCTATAAACTCTCAGGATTATGGAATTGATCAACAGTTTTTTACTAATATATGTATTCTCTCTTATTCTTGAATTGCTACAATTTGACAAATTTGGATTATGTCGTAGTAAATTATAACTTGTAGGCTTGTAGCTACTGTTGACACTTTCGAACTCAACTTATATGCAACCTCGATACATCTAAGGTGTTGGGCATAATTTGGGAGTAATGTATCCACCTACATCATCCTCCAAATACTCCGATACTATACATTCTATGAGTGTCCCTCATACATATCAATATATCATACACACACAATTTCCCTAATCCACTATCCTTATTTTGTACTACTCTATTGTGAGTTCCTATGGTGAGATTTCTCTTGTAACACTCACCCTAACAATAACAGGTTATATAAATGTATGTAAGATGATCACTTGATCAGCAAAGAACAAATCAGAATAATTATTAGACAGACAGCATGTATTTAATAAAGCTGTTTAAAATTGTAAAATGATTGCTTAATTCCACATGTAATAGGGCCTTACGAAGAGGTAGAAAAACAAAGATTCCAACTCGATCGGTAGATCACCGGTAAATTAATCCATCATGGATCAGTCGGAATAGTCAAAGCTTTGTTTCGAGACCAAGTATAGAGGGAAGGTTCCCTAGCAAAAGTACTCGTATTATACGGAGTATCATATTCATGTCCTCTTTATCTTTATTTTTTTTTTTTCTCAGGTAAGTTCAAAGAAAAAAAAGATAAGGTTAATAAGTTAAGAGAAGATAAATACGGGACTAATAATACGGAGAACGAGTATAAGATAATACTTTAAAATTTATGTTAAAAATCAATAAAAATAAGTTCAAAGAAAAAAGAAGGTAAGGTTAATAAGTTAAGAGAAGATAAATACGGGACTAATAATACGGAGTACGAGTATAAGATAAAAATCACTAATAAAAATATTTTCAATTAAAACCATTGAGGCTACGAGATTTCTTGCTTTACATAATAACAAGGTTGTAAGCTGGTATATGTTCTGTGACATATAACGTACACGATTGTAAGATGTATCTCTTCACAGTTGTGACTTTTGCACCTTTCTTGAACAATTGGCAATGAATTGCAACATAACTCAGTAAACAATCAATTCATTAATGACAAGCCAGCCTGCAACAAGAACAGAGCCTTTGCCAACTCAGCATGTTACCAGGAGCAACAAGAGCCTGAGTCAGCCCACAAGAGTGCCAACAACTACTCCTCCCAAAGTCAAAATACAGACCAGGTCCAAGCTTCATGTAATGACAAGCAAGAAGGACAAGGATCTCAATCAACTGTGACCCTAGGCCTACTCATTAGTATTTTGTAATAGACAGCCAAGTTTATTTGGTAGTTGAACAATGATAGTTGAACAATGATTTTGCACAAAGGTGCCTTAACTTTTGTCTCAGCCAATGTAAAACAATTAAAAACATTGTGTTGCAAGTACTAATACGAAATGTGATATGTTTCTACCAAAAAGTTCCATTTCTCATTGATTTAGTTAAAAGTAGTACAAGAAATGTCATCCCAACATCCACACATAATAATTCAACAAAACACAACATAAGGTGGGGATTTTTTTTGTTTCTAAGCATTCCTAAATGAACCTAAGATCTAAAATACATAGCCAGTACCAAACCAAAACAACAAAACACAACAATAGCATGTACTGTGAGCATTTTCTTTGTTGTTGCATTGCTGCCATGCACTTCCTTGATCATCTTCTTCCTGTCTGAGCTAAGAGCTTTGCATTTCATCTTCAAGCTGTCAATCTCATTGAGCAAGCACCTCCTTTGTCCACTAACATCATCAACTTCCCTCTTCATGTCATTCAGCTCTCCCTTCATTAGTTTCTTGTCCAGCAACAAGTTGTTAATCACCTCTGTTTGCCAAGGTGTTCCATCTGGTTGATCCACCCACTCAAAAGCTTTACACCCCCTTGACTCAGTCACAAGATCATAGAATTTAAAGGTCCTAAACTTGCGTCCAGGGTTCTCCCTAGTCCAAGCAGTCAGCCTAGACATTGGAACTCCACATTGGCATTTTTTCTCCTTTGAGGGTGACATGCTAACTGAAGACATTCCCTTCTGAAATTCAGTAAGAACAAGAATGAAATTAATTGTATTTGAACACAATCACCATAATATAACCCTAATTTCAGTAGCCAATTCACATAACAAAAACCCCCAATCTAATTTAATCTTACATGAACCCTAAGTATTTTAATTGAAATTGGGGTTTAATTGACCTCACAAAACGCCCAATTTAAATTACTCTTAGAAAATGCAACATAATCACGCAACGAATTGCCAAAAAATTACAACAGAAATCACGAAAATTGCTAGAGAATTAACGACAATGGCTTACCTTTTTTATGCTTGTTGTCGAGGAGTTCAATTGATTGTTTGATAATTAGAGGGTTTGGGATTGTTAAGGTTGCCTAAAAATACTGATTTGTGAAGAAAATCGCAAAAATTAATCTCCAATCTGCAAGAATTTGGTGTACAAATGAAGAACTAGGTTTAAATAAAAGGGAAATCGAGAGAAATTTGGGAAAAAAATCAAAAACTAGCCGTTATGCTGGGCCCCACAAGCGTTTTCCGTCACCTGAGCTCAGATGAGGTGGTAAAACTGATGTTTAATTTTTTTATGAGGTGGTAAAGTAAATGTTTTTTTTTGGAGGTGGTAAATTCGACAAAGTCATTTTTTGAAGGTGGTAAAAATGAAAATTTCCTTAAAATTAACTTTTTGATTAAATTATATAAATTATTTTAACAAAAATCCCTCACCACCCAATGTTGAACAACTCCCACCCTCTCACGCCGGTGACAATACTCTATCCGATCCACCATCGATCATCCCCCCACCCATTAGTTACCACTGACCCCTTTATCTCTCTCTCTCTCTCTTTCTCTCCTTCCTCTCCCACCACCACCTTTGCTCCTCTACTCTCTATTTTTTTTTCGAATTTTCGGGGTGGGTGTTTTCAGGTGAGTGTTGAGTATTTCGGGGTGGTTGGAGTGAGTTTCAGTGGTTAAGGTTTAGTTTCGGGGTAGATATAGTGATGCATTGGTAGTTAGGGTGAGGATTCGAGGTGGGAAGGTGGATTTTGTTGCGGGTCTGTGGTTTTGGGTTGGTCTGTGCGGTGGTTGGTGGGGTAGGGATGGTGATGGTGATGGGGGGCTGGTTAGAAAAAGGTCAGAAAAGGGTGGTTTTGTTTATAAAGTTTTTCTTAGTACTCGTATTTAATTGAAATAAATAATTTTTAATATTCTACTCATATTTGATAGGTTGTAGGTCATTTAACCTAAGTAGATAGACTAGATACCCCTTATGAGGTGTTTGATATGAGGGATATGAATAAGGAGGATAAAAGGGTGGGATACGTTTTGAGGATTAGCAAGTGGTATAAGGATAAAAAAGAGGTTGTCCTTTTTTTTTTGTCCTCTTCCTTTATTCTTTATTTCATTAAGGGTAAAAATGTATTTTACCTCCTTTATTTTGTCCTTAACCCTTATATCTAGGGCTGAGCAAAATTATCCAAAAAACCGAAAACCCAAAAAATCGAACCGTAATCGAACCGAAAATTAGGGTACCCGTTTCGATAACCATAACGGTTCGGGTACCCGATCCGATAATTTGTTATCAGGTATGGTTATTGGGTATCATTTTAAAATTAACGGTTACCCGATCCGATCCGATAAGCAATTTTTTCTTTTTTTTTTCCTACTTAAATCTATTTATCCAAAATCTAAACTTTTACTTTTCTTCGTAATCACCTCATAGTTTAAATGATTAGTAATTATTAGTAAGTTGGTCATGATCATGTGGTATTATTGTTGATTAGTGTTGAATGATATCATAATAACTATATTATAAAGTCAAAATTTTTATTATTGGATATCATATTGGGCACCCGATAACCATTTTGAAAATCTGGGTACCCAAAGTTCGGGTAATGGATATCATTTTTAGTGTTATTGATTATCGGGTACCCCAACCGATAGTGTTAACTGTGCGGGTACCCGTCCCATGCTCACCCCTACTTATATCACATTCTTTAGTTATTATTTTAGAGGGATAACTTGTATTTTTATCCTTATCCCTCTTTCCTATGTTATCCCTATCCCCCTAAACAAACAAGATAATATTTGAATCCCTTTACTATTATTCCTATCCTCGTCTTTCTATCCCTCCAAACAAACACCTTTTTAAAATACAACTTATTGTTAGTTAATTGAAAAGTTGACTTATTTAAAACAAATCGCAAAAAGATTAACTTTGATAGAATTATACATAGTATAAGACTATTTGATAGAATTATACGTAGTATAAGACTATAAATACTGGCAATAAAAAAAGTGATTTATCTCAAAAAATACTTAACGCTCTCAATACGTTCTCCACTGAAGCGGACGGCGCCTTCTAATCCCCCATTGAAGAGGCAGCTTGTGAGTTAACTTCTTGTTTCTTTTTGTAGTCATCATATCAATTTCATAATCTAGAGTTTATGTTTTATCTAATTCAATTTAATTGTCAATGTAAGTTTAGGGTTCGTAATCTCAACTATTTTTGATGTTTGAATCAAATTTCCCTGTGAATTTCGACCCTTATTTGATAATTGAATCAAATATCCCTTAAAATATGTTATTTTTCGAGCATAATTTGATAATTGAATCAAATAACCCTAAAAATATGTGCTTTTCGAGCCTTAAATTGACAATTGAATAAAAATATGTGATTTTTCGAGCCTGAATTGATAATCGAATCAAATATCCCTGAGCCTTATTTGACAATTGAATCAAATTTGGTTGGTAATGTATTAATAGGTAATTTGCTAGGCGGCTGGTTTGGTTGAATCTCTATAATGTTTATATATCACGATTATTTGTATGAATGAGATGGAAGTGTGAGTTTTAGAATTCGTTTCTAATTTCAGAATCTGTTCGTGCAGAATTTCATATGAGGACGAATAGAAGTTTAAGTATAGTAATAAGACCAGGCATCAGAGCTGAATCATGGTCAATCGACGAACATTCTAGTGATGACCAGAGGCCAGTCGATGATTTCTTCACCATCATCTTACGGTATTGCAACCGTGTCGACAATGTTACTGGGACATTAAAGTTGAAGAGAGAAAGCTCTGATTGGCAATTTGATGTCATGGGTTGGCTCGCTCATCTTAATGTTGATGTCAATGCTTGGGATGCTATCATTGATATTGTGGGCGAAAGTTGTGAGAGTTTGATAACTGATGTTCGCGAATCTGGTCGCACGTCTCTTGTTTTTAGAATTATGGTTTGCCAATATGAAGAGTGGGAGGAAGAGTACCACGATTACGAGCTCATGTATCTTGGTATTGAACAGGATTCCGAAACTGAAGAGGAAGAGGACTACGAGCCCATGCATCCTGATAATCTTGATACCGACTGGATTGAACAGTATTGTGATCCTGATCGCATAAAATCTATTCTACAGGATGGTGGAGTCAAGTTTGCTAACGGCGGCCATTCAGGAACTATTAGTAATTGCTCGATATGTTTAGAGGAGTTTGGGATGTCAAACAATGTGGCCACTCTTCCTTGCTCTCATATCTATCACGAACAATGCATGATTCGTTGGGCTTTTCAAGGAAAACGAACGTGTCCATTATGTAGATTGGAGATAAAATTGAATTTCATTGGGAAGACTCTGTGATTTGATGTCATGTGTGTTAGGTCTTGCTTGTAAGTTAGTTTATTTAAGACCTATAAACTCTCAGGATTATGGAATTGATCAACAGTTTTTTACTAATATATGTATTCTCTCTTATTCTTGAATTGCTACAATTTGACAAATTTGGATTATGTCGTGGTAAATTATAACTTGTAGGCTTGTAGCTACTGTTGACACTTTCGAACTCAACTTATATGCAACCTCGATACATCTAAGGTGTTGGGCATAATTTGGGAGTAATGTATCCACCTACATCATCCTCCAAATACTCCGATACTATACACTCTATGAGTGTCCCTCATACATATCAATATATCATACACACACAATTTCCCTAATCCACTATCCTTATTTTGTACTACTCTATTGTGAGTTCCTATGGTGAGATTTCTCTTGTAACACTCACCCTAACAATAACAGGTTATATAAATGTATGTAAGATGATCACTTGATCAGCAAAGAACAAATCAGAATAATTATTAGACAGACAGCATGTATTTAATAAAGCTGTTTAAAATTGTAAAATGATTGCTTAATTCCACATGTAATAGGGCCTTACGAAGAGGTAGAAAAACAAAGATTCCAACTCGATCGGTAGATCACCGGTAAATTAATCCATCATGGATCAGTCGGAATAGTCAAAGCTTTGTTTCGAGACCAAGTATAGAGGGAAGGTTCCCTAGCAAAAGTACTCGTATTATACGGAGTATCATATTCATGTCCTCTTTATCTTTATTTTTTTTTTTCTCAGGTAAGTTCAAAGAAAAAAAAGATAAGGTTAATAAGTTAAGAGAAGATAAATACGGGACTAATAATACGGAGAACGAGTATAAGATAATACTTTAAAATTTATGTTAAAAATCAATAAAAATAAGTTCAAAGAAAAAAGAAGGTAAGGTTAATAAGTTAAGAGAAGATAAATACGGGACTAATAATACGGAGTACGAGTATAAGATAAAAATCACTAATAAAAATATTTTCAATTAAAACCATTGAGGCTACGAGATTTCTTGCTTTACATAATAACAAGGTTGTAAGCTGGTATATGTTCTGTGACATATAACGCACACGATTGTAAGATGTATCTCTTCACAGTTGTGACTTTTGCACCTTCCTTGAACAATTGGCAATGAATTGCAACATTGTCACAGAAAAATGCAATGCATAAAGTAGCTTGTATCTGTTTGTGTTAGTTGTGTATCAAATGCCCTTAAAACCAAAACTTATTTTGGCCTTTTGGGTAACCTATGAAATAAGCGTAGGGTATGACTATATGAGAGACTATTATGCACATTTCACATTGCACAATGCACCAGACTTTGTCAAACTATTTATTCCTATTTTTTATACTTCTAGGTATGGCCTAATTGAGCCCCAAACCCACTTCTAGGTATTCCTTCTCCTCTTTCTGGTTCTGTCTTCCATGATAGTTGTGTACCATTCCTGAAAAGAAGCACACGAGAAAGCTCAGCATATCAGGACAATACTAAATGATATTATCTAGAAGCAGCACATAACTATCAAAAAACTCACAGAAGCAACCAAGGGGAATTCATAAATAATCAAGTGCAATATAATCCACAATGACAATAAATAGAAATGAGTCTTCAACATCAGCACAAACCCGCTCAGTATAGTACACATAATAATACCTTGATATTAATACACAAGGAAACCATCATAGGATGGTGCTTTGCAAATAAAAAAAATATTTAACACACAAAAAATTAAGAAAAAAAATATATTGAAGGAGAGAGAGCTCCTCTATCTATCGTTCATAAAAAAAACTGAGACCATGAGTATTTATGGAGTTTTGATGCAACTGTTAGCAGTTAATGGGTTAAATGAAATTACTTTAGGCTGTATATTTTGATTCATAATGTTAATCACTAATATAAAGAGAGCTGATTTTGGATAATATACTACTTCCTGCATCATGTTATGTAGTGTATCCCTCAGCACTGAGTAGGATAACTGATCCTATGCTAATTGCCAAATACTCCTACCATATATTACACTATCTGTCGCATTATTGAATTTTCAAACAATTTGTAAAGCATACAATTCATAGCTTCACAATAATGATTCCTCACACATGGCGGAAACTATTCCATTCTTTTTCAAGAAGCCCAAACTTAAAAGAGACAAAGAAATTGGGTATAGAGCAGGACAAGAAGAGCCTCAAAACCAGGTATCAACAGCCATTTTCAGATTATCAATAAGCATAAGAGAAATGCAGCACAATCATTAGATTGTCAATAAAACATAGCAACAACAGAAGCATAAGCAATGCGGTTCAGCATAACAAACGAGAGGATAAAAAGTATAACACATAGTCATAAACGACTGGAAGGGTGTAAGCAAAAGATGAGAATAACAAACACAAAACGTACAGGAATCGGTATATCTTTGACAATTTCAAGTTGATCCTGCAACAGCTTCAGTTGTGCCTGTAAGTTAATGAAAATTAATAAGCATGAAGAGATGAATAGATAGGAAGATAACCTAAAGACCTAAACAAAAGATAATTTTACCTCCATTTTTTTTTGTGATTCCTTCTCAGTAATAACTTCTTCTTCACAGTTTTCACATACAAAAGTGTTACCATCCTCGGAGATCAGTGATGCAGCATCCAAAGCATTGTATTTTCTGTCACACCTCAGGCATATATATTCTGCAATGCCGCTGCGCTTATTTTCAAAAGTTTCTTGCTTCTGTAATATTTTGTAATTGACTGCTTCGCATATTCCAGCATAGTTCAAAGAATAACGACGATATTGGCCACATTGCACTAACTTTTCCTCTTCAAGGTAGCGGAGCGCCCTACGAAGATAAGTCCTTGAAATTTTTACACTTCTTGATATTTCAGTCATAGACATCCATTGCGGATTTTCTCCAAAGTGGTCAAGAACTTTCTTTAATTTTACTGGCTCCCTCGGGTCAACTCTGCCATCAACACCTACGTCCTCATAAAAGGCTTTGCCCAATAGGTTCACAAAGACTTTATACGCCTCTTCACTGGAGGTTGATTCTTCATTGGGGGTTAATTCGGCCATTGCTAAGTCTGCACAAAGGAAATGATAACCAAGTGAGCACCATCTTAATACCCATATTGTTATCCCATATGCTGACATTCCTACCATTCCCAATATGATAATTGTTCTGTATTTTATTAATTCGTACTGTTGCATACAAACAAACTCAGCCAGAACTTCTTGACTTAATTAATAAAGGTAATTGTACTCGCATCAATTCTCAAAGAACAATTTTTTTGTTTTTTTTTTTTTTTTTTTTTTTGTAATGGAATGCATATTGAAGGAGAAGCAACAAAATAAAAAATAAAATGCATTTGTATAAATTGTAGTGAGTAGTCTTAGTACTAAACCAAGTTCTAATTCCTGTGTACAGCACAAGAAAAGCATCCTTGACTCTTGAGCCACACGGAAAATTAGCAAAAGACAGGTTGATGAGCAAATAATGAACCACAAAGCACCAATTGTATTTAGCTCCTCCCTACTCAGCTTGTCTAACAATCACAGAATCAAATACAAAAACTACGGGCAACAATATTGAAACATCTATGTCTTACTCTCGATAATGGGAAGACCTAGTCTACTGCCGAACCAAACAAGTACGTATAGGGGCTTAACACAAATCAAGAACCCATCCAAAGAAACAAACCTCAATCAAATCTAAGAATGAAAAGTACACAAATCATAGAAGAGGAAAATCCAACATTAGTAATCCAAACTCTTAGAAGGCTTTTCTGTATTCTGAATTTCAAGAAAAGCTCTTGTTGAATGGTACAGCAATACAACAACCCTCTTCGATAACACATCAAGAACTGCTAACAAGAATTACCCATAAACCCATTGTTGATAAGTATATTAGGTGACTCGTACTTCGTAGCTTTGTCCGCCCGATCGGGCGGACATTGCCCGGTCTGACCGGGCGGAAGAAGAAGAGGTGCCTGGCAAATTCGTTGAAGAAGCTGCTCTCGCGCCCGACCGGGCGAGCCTTCGCCCGATCGGGCAGACCTTGCCCGGTTTGACCGGGCGGTGGGGGTTGGATACGTTGAAGCATTCGTATGGAGTTTTCTTCTCGCGCCCGATCGGGCAGACCTTGCCCGGTCTGACCGGGCGGTGAAGGAAAAATACGGAACGCGGATTTTGCGGTTTTAGGTTATCTTATTTTATTATCTTTTTGCCCAAGTATCTTTTAATTAGGGATTAATATAAAACCTCCCTAATATCAGTATTAGGGTGAAGAGAGATAGAGTGAGAGCCGTTCTTGAGAAATACAAGAATCATCTTTGTAATCTTTGCAGTTTATAGTGAAATCATTCGATCTCGGTGCCCGTGGACGTAGCTATCACATCGATAGTGAACCACGTAAATTCTTGGTGTTGTTCTTATTGTTTGCATTGAATTTCTTTATTGTTTTCTTGTTTGTTTTCGACCTTTGCTTCCGCTGTCGCACAACAATTGGTATCAAGAGCTCAGGTTCAATCCTTGGAGAGTTTCTTGAAGATAACAATGGCAGGAGATTCAACAATAAGAATTGAGAAGTTTACCGGGAAAAATAGTTTCGGGCTATGGCAAATTAAGATGAAGGCTCTGTTAAAACAACAGCAGATATGGCGTCCGTTGGCTCCAAAGAGTACTACTTCGGAGTCAGAAGATGGACCGACTGACCCGCAGTTAGAAGTTATGGAAGAGAAGGCACACTCTACCATATTACTTAGTCTTGATGATCAAATCATCACGGAGGTGGCTGATCAGGAAACGGCGGCTGGATTGTGGCTGAAGCTGGAGTCATTGTATATGACTAAGTCGTTGACCAACAAATTATTACTGAAACAGCGGTTGTTTAGCCTCCGGATGCAGTCAGGTACTTCCTTACGGGAACATCTAGAAAAACTTAACTCTATTTTGCTTGATTTACGTAATTTAGATGTTAAAATTGATGATGAGGATGCTGCGTTGATTTTACTTGTATCTCTACCGTCTAGCTTTGAGAATTTTGTAGAGTCTTTTGTTGTTGGTAAGGATTCTATAACCTTAGAAGAAGTGAAGGCAGCACTTCATACTAGGGAACTCAGAATGAAAGCTACGAGTGATAATGGGGATAATGGTAGTGGGTTGTTTGTTAAGTCCGGAAAGTCTAAAAAGAATAAGGGGTTTAACAAGGGGAACAATGCTGGGTCGGGTGCTGGAAACGGCAAGGATGGATCTAGTAAAACTACTACTAAAACATGTTATTACTGTAAAGAACCGGGTCACTTTAGGAATAATTGTCCGGTGAGGAAAAACAAGTCCCAGGCTGCTGTAGTTGAAGAGAAACCGAATGAGAGCTATAATTCAGAGGAAGATTTAGCATTAGTCAGTTCTGCTAGGTCTGATGATTTATCTGATAACTGGGTTCTAGATTCGGGGTGTTCGTTCCATATGTGTCCACGTCGAGATTGGTTTGATACATATGAACCTCGCAATGGGGGTATGGTTATAGTCGGTAACAATGCTCCATGTAAGGTCACAGGTATTGGTTCCATGAGGTTGAGGACTGTTGATGGGCGGAGGTTAACTTTGACTAATGTACGGCATGTTCCTGCTTTAGGAAAGAATCTGATTTCATTGGGTACCCTGGATGAATTGGGGTACAATGGTGTGTTTTCAGATGGGGAGTTGTGTATTTTCAGAGGTTCTGAGTTGGTACTTAAGGGTATCAAAAGGAACACCCTCTATGTTTTTGAGGGTGTTACACTGCCTAGTTCTGCGGTTTGCGCATCTGTATCTCACCAGGAGATGACTAAGATTTGGCACATGAGGCTTGGTCATATGGGGGAGAAGGGGATGCAGCTATTGTCCAAGAGGGGTCTTCTATCCGGGGTCAAGGTTGCCAACCTTGAATTTTGTGAGCATTGTGTGTTTGGTAAGAAACACAGGTCAAAGTTCAGCAAGGGTGCTCACATTACTGATGCAGTGCTCGATTACATCCATTCAGATTGCTGGGGTCCATCTAGAGTTGAAGGTATGGGAGGTTACCACTATTTTGTGTCATTTGTTGATGACAAGTCCCGATACACATGGCTTAGGTTGCTTAAGTCAAAGGATGAGGCCTTCAAAGTTTTCAAGCAATGGAAAGCTTTGGTGGAAAATCGACAAGGAAGGAAGATCAAGAAGCTACGAACGGACAATGGGCTAGAGTTTTGCAAAGACGAGTTTAATCAGTTCTGTGCAGATGAGGGTATAGGTCGGCATCATACTGTCAGGAAGACACCACAGCAGAACGGTGTAGCAGAACGGGTTAATCAGACACTGCTAGAGAGAGTTCGATGCATGCTCTCTAATGCAGGGCTTGGGAGGAGGTACTGGAGTGAAGCTGTGTTAACAGCTTGTTATGTCATTAATAGGGGTCCTCATTCTGGAATTGATTCCAAAATTCCGTTTGAGATCTGGAGTGGTAAGTTGCCTAATTTTTCGAATTTGAAGATTTTTGGTTGTGTTGCTTATTATCATGTTATTGAGGGTAAGCTGGATCCACGAGCCAAGAAGGGGTGTTTTGTTGGGTACGGGGATGGTGTGAAGGGGTTTAGAATTTTTTCACCTTCGGAGGGTCGGGTCATTCTTAGTAGGGATGTTACTTTCGATGAAAACACCATGTATTCAATTAAAAATGCAGAGATTTCAGATTTGAGAAGGGAAGGAGACAATTTATTACAGACAGATGGGGTACTTGAGGTACATCAGTCTACCATTGCTGATTTACCTCGGGTACAATATATTGATGATGATGCTGATGTTCCAGTGCCGGGTACTCCTGAACCTGAGATTACTCCTACTCATTCTAACTCTGGGGATGAGGTGGAGCAATCTAATCAGGGGTCATCTAGTCAACCTGACACCATTCTTGAGATGCCTAAACGAGTTATCAAGAAGCCTGTTAGATTGATTGAAGAGATGGAGGGAAGAAATTGCTGTGTTGATGCGATGACAGGTTATGCATTGAGTGTAGCTGATGATGTAGAGTCATTTGAACCTGCCACATATAAACAAGCAATTAGTTGTAGTGAGTCTGCGCAATGGCTTGCCGCAATGGGTGAAGAGATGCAGTCCCTTTACAAGAACAGAGTGTGGGAACTGGTAAAGGTACCGGAAGGGAGGAAGCTTGTGGGTTGTAAATGGATTTACAAGAAGAAAGAAGGGTTGTCGGAAACTGAGCAAATACGTTTTAAGGCTAGGCTAGTTGCTAAGGGGTTCAGTCAGGTAGAAGGGGTTGACTTTGTTGAGATATTCTCACCTGTGGTTCGACATACTTCTATCCGTGTGTTATTGTCAATTGTAGCACATTTTGATCTTGAGCTGGAGCAGTTGGATGTTAAAACGGCCTTCCTTCATGGCGATTTGGAGGAGGAGATTCTGATGAAGCAGCCCGAAGGATTCGAAGCTCCTGGAAAGGAACACTATGCCTGCAGATTGCTAAAGTCATTGTATGGACTTAAGCAATCCCCCCGACAGTGGTACAAAAGGTTTGATTCTTTTATGGTTTCACAAGGTTTTGACAGGAATTCATATGATTGCTGTGTGTATCATAGTAAGCTGGATAATGGTTCCATGATTTATCTTTTGTTATATGTTGATGACATGTTGGTTGCCACAAAGAATAAATCTGATATTGCTAGATTAAAGGAGATGCTTAACTCGGAGTTTGACATGAAAGACTTGGGTGCAGCTAGGAAGATTTTGGGTATGGAGATCTACAGGGATCGGGCTAGAGGTAAGCTTTTCTTGACTCAGAAAAGCTACATTGAAAAGATTTTGTCTCGTTTTGGGATGGAAAAATCGAAGCCTATAAGTACGCCAACTACTGTTAGTTGTAAGTTGTCTTTGTCTATGTCACCTCAATCAGAGGAGGAGTTGTCTTATATGTCTAGAGTTCCATATGCAAACGCGGTTGGTTGTTTGATGTATGCTATGGTCTGTACTAGGCCGGATATTGCGCATGCTGTTAGTGTTGTAAGCAGGTTTATGGCTCGACCTGGGAGGGAACACTGGCA